TTTTCCCTTTTTGTTTTTTTAATGGAAAAGAATTATTTTTGCTGCATTTAGAGGGTATTTCAAGATATGTTGATTAAAAGTATTGAGAATAAGCTACAAAAAAGGCAAACTCTTCTAGCCTGTGCTCCTTTCTCCCTGTTTATTTGGATCAAGTGCATTGAATTCAGACTAATTAGGTTTTGACCAAGTGCAAAAGCTGCAATGGGTTAATGCCTTTTAATGACTGCTGGAACAAGACGCCACTTTTCTAAACATGAATAAAACAAAATCGATAAGAAGCTGGGAGAGGGTTGACCCCCAAATGCATGAAACGTAATTTCTCTGGCAAGGCACCATAACAATTAACTTTGTCTGACAAATGTTAACTTAGAATGTGATTTCTGATCAATTAACTAGAGGTCAGAAATACTTGGGCTGCAGTTTGAATACAGAATTCTTCCAGCTCACCTTTGCAATATCTCCTGAATTCTGCACTGTCTGTGGTCTGGTTTTACAGATGCCATTGCTTTCCTGTGCCATGGCTGCAGGACTGCAGCTGAAAAACTTGCTGGTGTTTGCTCTTTGTTTATCGTTGTTTGAATGTCCCAACTGTTGGCTTGAGGTCATGGATACGGGCAAACTTGTGTCTCAAGAGAGCTGCTGTTTATTTTGTATAAATAAATAAAAAAGTACAAGCGTGGCAGTTTTCTCCTAAACTTCTGGGGCCTGATTCCCATGTGTGCTGAAAAAGGATGTTTTAAAAGCGCTGTAGGGAGATGAACATGCATCCAGGAGCACCTTGCAGCACGTGCACCTCTCAGAGCAAGTGAGGCCTGGGTGTCCTGGCCAGCAGCCAGAGCAGGAGGGCTCTGCCCTGGGAACAGCACTTTGCTCCAGCTGCTCCATGTGCTGGCTCAGCTCCTGTCCTTTCGCAGCTCTGGGGGTTTAAGGCAGTTGGAGAATTGCTGCTTCTGGTGTGGGGTTTGCCATTTGTGCTGAGTAGGACGTGCCATTTAGCAAGCAGGCAGTGAGTAGCTGCTATTGGCTTTATCTCTCAGTCTAGTTTGTGGCTGGAGACCTGCGTGCTGGTTGTGGGTTTTTATGTGCGTCACTGAACCCAGAATTTTTATTATATTCTCAGAAAAGGGTTTTGCAACAGCTCAGCTATTAAAGCCAAACCATGTAGTTTAGTTAAAAGTCTGGGCAGGAAATAACAAAATGAAATTCATCCTAGGGGAGAAGCATGGTGCATGGAGGGTGGGAAGAGAATGCAAATATACTATTTATAGGACTAGGGGAAAACAAATTTGGACTTGAGGAGTAAATGCAAGGGAGTTATCCTGGGAAAACCAGCCTTGGCCATCTAAGACACTAAGATCTGTGCTGTCAGACTGCTTGTCCATTTTGGAGAATTATTGTTTTGTTACATCCCAACAGAGAAGAAAAGTTTGACATTGAAATCTGTGCTGCATAGAGTCCCTTCCAGCAGTGTCCTTTAGGAGTTGGGGCCATGGATGAGACTCGGGAAGTGAAAGGAACCTGTATTTTTTTAAGCAGTATGAAAATAGCTGCTCCAGGGAGGTCCTGTGGGATGGGCAGAGCTGCTGCAGGGAGGGAGGGAGAGATTGGTTCATGTGCCTCTGGTCCAGCAGCAGGTCAGTGGCAGAGCCAGGAGTGCAGCCCAGCTCTGTGACATGTGATGCTTCTGGTGTTACACTGAAGTTGGTGGGGAGAACTGGTAGTGGGGAATGCAGGAGTAGTGACTGTCCCTCAGCAGTGACCTGCCTCAAAGCAGCATGCTGTCCTCAGACACTGCTCACTGGAATAGGACAATGTGGGGCATATATTTCTGGATCATTTCTTTACCTAATTTGTGATTTTTCATTAATCCCTCCTGCCTTCCACCGTGCTTCTTGGAACAGATTCCGACACCTTCTGTGCTTGCAGTTCCCTGCTTTGTACTGGATCATGTGCTGCTTTTAGGGCATTTGCTTATAATTAGTGTTCCATATAACTAAGTGTGAATCTCTAGCTCCCAACCCTTCTTCCAGGAAAAATAAACCTTGCCTGATGGGAGATCCTACACTAAAATAACAGGTTACAGTCAGACTGCAGAGCCGAGCTGCTGCTTTACACAGGCTGTGCCAGTTCCAAAATCACTTGCTTCTGTCCCAAGGTGCTCCATGGCCCTGAGGTGTGCCCGGGAATGGGGAGGGTGAGGTGGCCCAGGGGCAGCAGCACAGCACAGCACAGTGCCCTGGGAATCCCACGTGCCATGGCTCACAGACACACGGGAGCTGTTTGCCTTCGGCGGGATGTTGGGGTTGCAGCTTGTGTATCGAAATACATATTGGCATTGACCCTTCCTTCAAGTGGCCTCTGGGAAAATAGAAGGCTTGGGTGATTCTTGTCTTCCTTCTCTATTCCATGACATAGCTATTGCACAGTTGGGAAGCTGGGTTTCGTTTGTGGAGACTGATTTCTGGCACGCTGGGGGCTGTTGAGAAGAGAAGGCCTCAAACTTCCTGCAGCCTCTGTCTTTCCTGAGGGGCCCTTGCCCATCCACTCATACCAGTTCTTCCTTGCTCCTATCACCACTATTCCCAATCCATGTTTTTGGTTAACCTCACTGCAGCCACTGGGTTGCAAAGACCCTCTTCCCTGAGAGCAAGGGACTTCTCTCATCAGGGCTTTGACTCTCCTGTCCCTGTCTTTACCTGCAGCCAAGTCCCTTTTTCTCATTCTAATCTCTTCCTCCCTGTCTTCTGAGGGAAAAAGTCAGGATGCAAACATGATACATTTGGAGGCACTAAAAACAGAGTCAAGTATCCTGAGTGTAACAAAACCCCAACATTGAGAATGTAGGTTTCTCCTGGTAAAATGGAATTTTAGGACAGATAGACAAACATCACAGTCAGGATCCATGACAGTGTTCAGTCTAAACTGTGGAACAATTGCTTTAGCTGTGGGAGACTAATTCCAGCTCCCTGATGTGGGGGTTACCCCAGCTGTGCCAGGCAGGTGCAGAGTACAAAAAGCACACCAAGAAAGAAAATTTAAACCAAGCTCTTAGCAGGAAAATACTTGGAACAGCATCTCCAAGCCCCTTTCCAACACGGCTGTGAACAGGAGAGCTCTCTGGACAGGCTGTTGTGGGAAAGGATGTGTGATAATGAGGAAGCAGAAGGTCACAACTAAGGCAGCTGGTGACATGTGTGTGCCCCCTCCCCGCTCTTGAGCTGACTGAGGAACCAAGCTCCTGTCCTCCAGGGCCATGGGAATTCAGGGCCCTGTTCAGCTGAAGGTGTGGAGGGAGGAGAGCTGGGAGCAGGTCTGGAGCACAGGTACCAGCAGTGTTTCAGTCACATGTGCCCCAGCACACCCTGCTGACCCAGCACACGGGCTGCCTTGGCTCTGCCTGCTGCAGGGCATGGGCCTGTGGCAGCTCCTGGTGCCTGTGGCAGCTCCTGGTGCCCATGGCAGCCCCTGGTGCCCACAGCCCTGCTGAGCCCAGGGCCAGTCCCCTGGAGCTCAGCTGGCCTTGGCTCACCCTGCCCTGCAGCCAGGGTCTGGCCAGAGGAACCAGACAAGGGGGTGAAAAAGGAAGTGCTGTCAGCTCCTTTATGTAAAAAGAGGTACTGAGACTGAGAACAATTGAGTGGGATTTCCAAGGTAATTTCTTGTAGGCCTTGTGCTCCAAAGCCGTGTTAGGAAGTTGTGGTGAAAAGGTTCCTCTGGTGTCAGCAGGCTGGTCAGTGTGGATGAGGAGGGATGGCTGAGTTTCTAGGCAGCAGTCCTGTATTGCACAGCTGCCTCTCCTGGGAATGGTGCTGCTGTGCCTCGCTGTGGGCATGGCAGGGAGACTTTGGATCACTTTGGGATTCACACACGTTTTGATAAATCTCAAACTGCACAGCACTGCTGTCAGAGTTCAGCGTGTGGGCAGAGACAAACTTGTTACACCTGATAAGGTGTAAGGGTTGGATTGCTCATAACACAAACCCTCAGCTAGCTTCATAGGAAAGCACTTGAACCCTAAGAGGAGAGACATTATAATGGCCAAAGAATCCATGTTTGTTTTTTTCTTTACATTCTTGTCCCAAATGGTAAAATTTGTTGACTAAGACCATGTTTTGGTTTATAAATCACGGATCAACTAACTTGCTTTAAGGCATTGTTTTGTTAGGAAGGTTTTGAAGCTTAAGCCTGCCCCATGGGAATGTGTGACACTGAGCAATCTTTGGAGAGTATTTGCTTTCTGATGAGCAAACATCAGACACAAATAATATTCCTTCTTGCTGTCTTATTCTTCTATGCCCAAAGTGAAGAATTCTGTGCAGTGCATTTGCCACGAGATGGTCAGGTGATAAAAGCTTCGGAATAAAACTTTAGAATAGAATAGAAGATGTACAGCAATCAGCTAGTCCAACTGCCTCAATTTTTGTTCTTTTAACTTAACTGCTTTTAATGTTGATTTTTTAGTAGAAATGCCCATCAGATAACAGCTTCAGAGTCTTTGGGTACTTTGGCTATTCCTGGCTCACTGATCTTCTAGACCAAATGAAGACCAGATGTAAGAGAATTTAACAAACACGCAGGACCAAGGGATGAGCAGGCAGATGGTGCTGCAGGTTGTGCTGCCCACAGCATCCCCAGAGAGGTTGTGTGGACATGTGCAGTGCCTTCAAATGAATGTAATTCATTGTTTCAAACGGTTTGGATCCCTTGTGTGTTTTGGTGAGACACTCAGGCTCTGCTCAGCACTGTTGTTGATGGGGGTTTAGAGCAGAGTCTTGCAGGGATGGGCCCTGCAGGGTCCTGCCTTGTGCTGGAATGTTGGAGAGCAGAGCTACTCGGAGTGAGGGAGATGCACTGGATGGATTCCCCTGAGTGCTCAGAGGAGTATGTCACTGTTCTGTCCTGAAGGAGCCCTGCTCACACACCAGCAGCCCTTTGCACCAGCCCTGCCTGGGAGGTGACAGTGTCCCAGGGACTGAGGCTGGGCTGTGTTGTCCCCACAGGTGAAGCTCATCGACTACATCCACCGGCAGCGGCAGTGCAAGCTGAGCGTGCCCCTGAGCGACAGGACGGCCGAGCTCAACAGCTACCCCCGCTTCCACGACTGGCTGGACATCGTCAACGTGAGGAAAGAGGTTGTGCAGGTAAGGAGGGGAAGGCAGCCCTCAGCACAGAACCCTCCTGGCTCTTCAGAACGTTCCCAGCTGCCTGCTGGGTTTAAGTTAGTTCCTGAACTTTCAGGCAAGGTGGGAGGGTGTGGGTACAGAGGGGGACCTGTGGTGGGAAGGGAGCTTCCTCTCTCCCAGAGCAGTGCTGAAACCCTCCCTTCCCATTGTCCTCCTCCCAGAGTTCCTGGGCATCTCCTCACACCAGCCTTGAAAGCAACACTCACACCTGCTGCTCAGGGTGAGACCAAAGTCCTGCACCACCAGGGCCTCCTCTCCTGGGTCTGAGAACAACTGCACCACTTAATCACTTGCTACCTTTTAGATAATAACAGTACACTGCCACTACACTATGTTCTGTGTCACATTAGCCAAAACAGAACCAACATTACAATTACACACACAGAGCTCAGTCCACTCACAGCTAAACAAGGCAGAAAAGGTTTTTTCCATTCTTTTTCCCGTTTTTGCCTCTGTAGGCCGGGTCACAGTGTTCTCATTCAGCTTCCTTTGATCTTTAACCAAAAATTTTGTTTGACTTCAGCAGGAATCTGCCCAAGTGAAAAATTCCACAGATTTCCATGGGAGTTATTCCAGCTTGGTCCTGATGTAACTAAGTGGTCTCTGGTGAAACAGGATGAGTTCAGGACCGAGTTGTTCCTTTAATTTCCTACTGTTCATTTTGAATGTGATGCTGGTATTGCCTTCCAGCCCAGCGAGGTTTTGGGTGGCACAGCTGAAGGTGCAGCAGTGACAAGGAGAGGATAAAAGCAGCCTGTGCCGTGGCCAAGCTGCCAGGCTCCCAGCTAGTGTTGTTTCTAAGGTTACTGGAACTGCCTGAGCCTAAAAGAATGTCTTTGTAGCTCTTTTATAAATCCTTTGTGGTGCTTGCAGAACTGGGGGCAGGGAGGAGGTGAAGAGAAGGGGGGAGGGAGGTGGACAGTTCAAATCTGCTCCATCCTGCTAGTTCAGGGAGCAGAGAGGGTTGGGACTGCCCTTCAGTGTGTGTGGTCACTAAAAGGGGTGAACAAATTTGGGTTTGGTCTAAGGCCGGAGGAATTCTCCAGCTCTTTCTTATTTTGATTCGTGCTCTCTTGCTGCCCCCTCCCAGGCAGTGCCCAGTGTAGGGAACTCTTCCTTTTGTACAAAGCACTGAAATTCTTCTGGGATTCCAGATGTATGGTTAGTTTTTAAGAGTTCTGCATCCATTTCAAGCAGCTGTAAACAGCTTCTGTAGCACCTGTATTAGCTGGACAAGAGAACTGCAGCACCCGATGGGTCATTAAAATGAGTAGCCATGTGGGACAGGCTGTGAGCTGGGTGAAGTGGAAATAGCTGGGCTAATAAACTAAGTGCTCTGTTCTTGCAGTGCTTTTTTTTGGTCCTGTTACTGCACTGCCCAGAAAATAGCAATGCAGCACTGTTGGTGTTTGACATCAGCACAGTGCAAGGAGCTGTCTGGGATGAGCTACCTTTCAGGAATGTCACAGGGATCATCCCTGCTCTTGCTTAGATTTCATAGAGCGTGTTGAACTGCATTTCAGCTGAAAGCTTTCAAAATGGAAATCACAGACAGCAGGAGCTTTAATAGATTAGTTATTACATCCTTTAGAATGGTCTCCTGCTTTGTGCACACAGCCTGTGACAGGACTGGGGGGGGAGAGGTGGTGGGGGAGCCTTTACAGAGGTGGCTGAGCAGCTCACCCAGTGAAAATGGAGACCCTCGAGTCCCTGCCTGGTTCTGTGTACAAGGGACACTGGGAACAGCTTCCCAGCTCTCAGGTACTCTCAGCTCTCTGTAAAATGGAAATAGCCATACTGGGTTTCCTTCTTAAGGCTTCCAAAAAGTGCTACAGAGGGAAGGAAAACCCCACAAGTGTTGTCATAGTGTATTCATGTAGGCACACAGCCCTCTCTTCTTGGGCCTTTTAGGCTCTGCAATTAGTTGGAGGAGTTGCCAAGTACCTGTAGAGTCTCCGAATAGCTGCACCCGGGGCTGCCCTGAGAGCTGACCAGAGCACAGGCACAGCACAGGGGGAGGTGCAGGTGGGGGGCTCTCTGGGCACCCTGTTTGTCAGGGACAGATCAGGAGAAAGGCCTGAGTTCATGGGTTTTTTGCTTTTTTAAAGGGTTCTGATTCCCTTTGCATTTCTGGTGTTGCTGGAAGGAGTATTTTGAAGATTGTGCTAATCTGTGACATAACACCTTTGAAAAGCAGCCTAATTGCAAGAGTTCTTTGGCTCAGTGGTGAGAGAAACAATGCTCTGTTTCTCTCTCTCCCCTCCCCTCCCCGTGCCCCCCCCCAGTCCTCTCCCAAATAAAGCTGCCATGCAGGGAAGCACAGAAGCTCCCAGGCTCTCCTGTCAGAAATAGAGCACCAGCTCCAATTTAGAATATCTGCTGACTCCTCCACTCCAGAGTGAAGACTATTTTTGCCCAGTGACTTGCTCTAGACACTGCGAAGCTCCAACGCTCCGAAGCTCTGGCAATTCTAATTGTTGGGCTCCTTTATTTCTTTGAAAACCTATATTTAAAACAAGAATAATGACTGCTTGTAAAACCCTTTAGTTCTGGAAGAGATTACAGCGCTAACAATGCACTGTTTATGGCGTTGGGCAAGAGCTAAAGCTGCCGTGGGCAGGGACAGCAGCGAGCCGGTGACGCTGCGCGCGGTGCGAGGGCTGGGCTGCGCCGGCCCGGCGGCCCTGCAGGTACGTGGGGAACACCAGCCTGGGCTCTGGGGTCCTGTTTGCTCTCTGTGAACATAGTTCTGAGGGGTAAGAAACTGTGAACCCCCACCCCAGCCTGTGCTGTTCCTGTTGCTTTGTTCTTGTTCCTCTAATCGGTTTCCAGACAGATTTTTATCACAGCAAATGGTGGCTGGTGTGGAGCAGGCTCTGCTTTGGAGCTGGGCTTACACTGTACTCTAACTTGCTTTTTAGGGATTTTTTTTTTTTTTTTTTAGGAAATGCTGGAGTCCTTGTTTTTGGCTAGGAGTTCTAGAGATTGATTAGCACTGTGTATGTGTGGTTTAATACTGAAAATGGTTAAATATGGTGGATTGAAACCAGGCAAGGAGGTACTTAAACTGAGATCTAGAAAAGACAGGACAAGGAACCTTACAGACAGAAGGTATGTTTACGCTATATAGTGGTCTCAGGGGGATAAAAGTTGCTCTGAAAATGGTCCTACAAAAATACACTGATCTGGATTGTCCTGTTCCCCTTGGGAGCTGGAGTTGGGAATTGAGGGGGGAGCAGGAGGGAAGGAGGATGAGAACAGAGCACAGTCCCCACTCTTAAGCTGATGGAAGAAGTCTCTTGCAGAGCTGTTTACTGGGTTCTGGGCTTGGGACATGTCTACCAAAAGAGGAGATTAAAAAAAATATCTCTTGGCTTATTTTCTTCAGCACAGAAAGCAATCCTCTCTCTTGTGCTTCCCAGAAACAAAACTTATATTTGTTCCCACATGTAACTTGTCACTGTCTTAAAAAGTAACTTAAGAACAGAGTCATCTCCTCATCATCTTGAGAAGCATGTCTGGGCCGGCCGAGGAGCAGGGGTGGGTGTCAGTCAAGCCTGGAAGGCTGTTTTTAGAGTGGGTGACTGCCATGCACGGGGAAGGCACATCCTGACCAGGAGCTGCTGTGCAGCAGCGGGGCTGTGCACCCAGGGGGCTGTGGGAGCAGAGGCAGCAGTGCTGTGGCTGTGGCTGCTTTATGGCTGTTCCTTCCACCTGGGGGATGTATTTGACTCCCAGTGTATGTACCTTCCTGTGGGACCTCCTGCCAGCCTGTGAAGCCCATCTCCTTCCTCATTTATGGCAAAGTCCTGCTTGTCAGAGCAGAGCTGAGCAAGGCAGGGGCACGCTGGGCACAGGGGGAGCAGAGCAGGAAGGGCTCATGCCTTGAGCAGGAATTGTCTACCCAGAGTCTCCTGCTGCCCCTGGGAAAATCTGCAGAGGATGAGCCACTGGCCAGGGGTTGGTACCACGAGCCCAGGGCAGAGGGTGCTGTTTGCATGGAGTGTGGTCCAGCTTGAAGCAGATCAGTTGTCAGAGCAGTGCTGACGGTTTTCTGTGTGTGCATCCTTGCTTTGGATGGGGATAGAAGAGGCAGATCTGCCTAAGCCTATCAGGTTTCCACAGCTGTATCCTCCCATCTCTGTCTGTCAGCATATCTGCATGAACAGGCCACAAGGACTGTGGCTCTTTGCTGGGGATTTCCATGGGTCTGGCAGCAGGAGCTCTGACTGGACCACCAGATAGCAGAGATCCTGGATGTGCTAATTGTGTATATGCAGATTAACTCTGTCCTGCAGGCTTCCTTGAGCTATAACTCCATCTCTGTGTTCCAGCTGAAGGTCCCTCCCCAGTGTAAACAGCTCTTGGAAAATATTCTCTCCCACTGCAAGGGTTCCCTTCCCCTGCCAAGGGTGCAGGTGCCCCTGGCAGCCTTGTTCAGGGTGAATCATTCATGGCCTGAGGTCGGCCCCAGGCTCCTGCTCTCCCTCGGGGTCTGCAACTGCTACCTCTGCCTTCCACAGAAGTAGTGACAGCAGCAGTCCTGTCCCAGAGAGCCAGGGGAAGGGAATGCCCCGAGCCTGGCAGCTCCTCTCCCCCGCCTGCTGCGAGGGGAGCCAGCGAGGAGGGTGATGTCAGGTGAAACTGTAGCCTGGTTTTGCTCACAGCTTAATGCAGGCTGGAAATTTCATGTGAGAGGCTTTCCAGAATGCCCATAAAATCTCCAGGAATTTAATAATGCAACAATTTTTCAGTACCTTCTTCCCCAGGCACCAGAAAACCAGAGCAAAATAACAACTAGCAGGCACAAGATGTTCTTAGGAGCATCTTTACATGCTTTGCTTAGAGCTATCAGTGGGAATTTAAGCACCTTATGTAATGGGCTTTCTCTTCCAGCATCTGCTGCTTCACAGGAGGATGATTGGAGAGGGAATGTATTGATTTGAGAGGAGGCATTTGGGGCCTTGACAACTGTCCAGCTTTACAGGAAGAGCTGTGGCTACTGGGTCGAGGAGCAGGTCAGGCTGATTTTGCAGAGTGCAGCAGCAGCATTAGCTCCATAGGCTTATCTGCAGGGTGGAATCTTTACCAAAAATAACCCCTCCACTGTGTTAGATACCAGCATTTTTGCCATGTTTCAGGGATTTAAGTTGGACACCAGACAAGATTAAAGACTTGTGTGAACTCTTCACCCAGACTAATTGAGACTAACCCTTGGATGGCTCCTTGGATGCAGTGGTACTCACTTTGCTCTCTTCAAACGTGTCCCATTAAGTGCAGTCTGTGTCTGATAAGTGGGAGGGCTTTATAGGAAAGTCCTTTTACCTCTTGTAGAGAGGAGTGATTTCCTGGTTTGGGCTTTTTAGCATCACTTCTGCTGAGCAGAAGCCTTACCGTGGTAAGGCTTTAGATTTACTGAGGTGCTGGAGATTAAAAGCAGGTTCTGTCTTCTCCTACTCTTTCTCTCCTAATTAAATCTGACATTATTAGAGTACTATCTGAATATTTTGCAGCTTCCTCTGTCAAGGCAAGGTGTGCCCAAGCCTTTAACCTGCATTTTTAAAGCTTTTTTTTGAGAAGCCTCAACACCCACTGAAGAAGCAGTAAAGGGTAGTGAAGGGTAAAGAGAGGTCAGATGGACCCACATTTCTCACCCTCAGTGCTGGGGGTAACCCCTGTGCAAGGACCCAGAATTGCACTGAGGGGTTGGGGCCCACCACGTGCCCCTCTGCAATGGACCCTGTCAGGGCCCTTCACAGGGGCCACTCTCCCCCCGGCACAACAGCTGAGCCAAGGCAGCAGCAGAACCTGTTCCCAGAGCCCCCCTGAACTAGTGACCCTCCTCTTGTCACACTGGCTGGGGGCTAGCACAGAGCTAAAGCATTGCAGGCCAATCTTACAGGGATCAGGTTGGCCAGTTTTATATTAAGCCACTACATATGTGCAGCACATGAGTGGCTGTTTAAAGAAAGCCTCTTACTGCCCCTCCCTCCCCCTCGGTGAAGGCTTATTTCTTTTGTCGCGTGTCATGGGGGCTGGCAGCAGGTTCAGAAAGTCTGAGCTCTCCCAGCTCAAGGTCACTGGGATTGTTTAAATATAATCTCCTTTTCTGTACTTTATACTTTCCTACAACTTGCTATTCTGTCTTTATAAAATTAAACTCTGGGCTCTGTGTGGGCAAACCTGTGCTGCCTTCGTGCTGCAGTGTTGGAGCTGTGCAAACCCATCCCAGGTGCAACTCTGAGCATCCAGACCCCTGGGATGTTGTCCTTTGGAGTGTGATATCAGAGCAGGTTCCCAGGAGATAGATTTTGCACTGTGTTTTTACTGGAGTTTTTGAGCTTCCTGTATTTTATCCAAGTGGAAATCATTCAGGAATAGGCTTTTTGGGGGCAGTCTTACTCCTGCATCGTGATGCTGCAGGTGTGCAGAAAAATGAGTAATAATACCCAGCATCAACTGGGATGTCTGTGCTTTTTTTATTCTGCAAAGATTAATTATGGAAAAAAATCGATCCAAACTTCATTGAACTCTGGCTCTGCTCTGGCCCTGCTTTGTGCTTGCTGCTCATTTAAATTCCTGGGCTCTCCTTGAGTCAGCTCTGGTTTGTGTTTCATCCGGCTCAGGGCATGTGACAGAAGATGCAGGATGTGTTTCTTAGACTTAATTTACTCTTTTTCTTTGCTCCATGCCACAGTTACTAAAAAAGGAAACTCCGTGATTACTCTCTGTGTTACCACCTACAAAGCTCCCAAGGCTGGGGCTGTTCAGCACTGTCACAGCTCAAAGTCCTGCGTCAGCTCTCAGAAGCACAAGTCTGGATTAAGAAAGATGCAATTGTTAAAGGACATTCAGCACATTCACATTTGCTTTGGAGTCAGAAGTGAGGTTTAAGGACTAGAGGATTTCCAGTGTTCTGTTTCTCCAGGCACTGAGACACAGTTTCGAGTTTTCCTCTTCAGATAAAAGTTCAAACCCTTTTATATAGCTTGATTCCAGGAGCTGAAGCTTTAGGAAAGAGGCCAAATATTGTGAAATTTGTGATCTCATTGTGAGAGTAGGCAACAGGGAGGTTTGTTTAGGCAGAACTTTCAGGGAAATTCCTGGGTATCTGGGCTAAATATCCTGGTTTTGTTTATTGACCACAATTGCTGCAGACTTACACTGGAAACATTTGAATGGGGGAAGAGAGAGAGACACAGCTCAGTTCTGTGTCAGGAAATACCTGATCGTTTTGTGCTTTCCAGGCTCTTGTATCTTTTGTGTCTGCCTGATCTGAACCTTATCTCTGTGGGGGTTTGGTGTATTAAGGCGTAGTAGGAGTTCTGCACAAATATCTCTCCAGGCAGGATACGGGTAAGGCTGGTTCTCTGATGGAGGAAAAATGCATGAGGAGGAGGAGGTCGCTATCTCTGTCAAAACATTTCTTTTGTGTTCAAGAAAAGAAGTAATTTTCCTCACTGTTTCTGCTTTTCACTTCACTACTAAAAAGCCAAACATTTTTATCTGATGTTTTTTCAGGTTTTAGGCCTGTTTCGTTTCTGACTGCTATTTTTAAGGAAAAAGTTGTTTCATTGGTAGCTTTGCAAAAGTACTGAGTGAAAGCTTTCCAGTAGGGGAGAAGAATATTTCAATCACCTCTAAACCTAACTTAAATACCAGCCAGTGCCCAGTCCCAGTGCTGCAGAGCACACTCACACATGGGGCAGGGGGCAGGGAGCAGCTGTTGGCCACTGTTAAGAGAGGGGCACTACCAAACTGAGTAAATCATGAGTCAGACCAGGCAGTGAGACAGGGCACTATTCAAAGTATGCCAGAACAACAGGTGACACTCCTATTTAGATATGGACAGTAAAAAAAGATGCCTTGTTTTTCTGCAGAGGATACCAGAGGAGCTGACCTTGGATGCCCTACTAGAAATGAATGAGTCAAAGGTGAAGGAAACAATGAAGAGGTGTGGTGCCAGAGATGAGGAGTGCTCCAGGCTCAACGGGGCACTGAGCTGCCTAAGGAAGGTGACAGAATCAGGTACAGACTGTCTTGTTCTCACATGGAATTGGGGTCTTGGCAACCCAGCCCCATCCTGCTCCCTTTCATGTGAGAATCTGCAAACCCTCCAGACAGTGTCTGTGGTATATTCTGTAACCACTGTCAGTCTGCAGCTCTTGCATGTCCATGAAGGTGCACTGATCAAACACAGCTAGAGACCTGAGTTGGATTTGGTTTTGACATGAAGTCAAATAAATAAATGGAAATAAATGTATGAGGAGATATCCTCTCCTACTCAATAGACTATATCCTTTTTCCAGTTCGTCCTCCATCAGTCAGTCCACATACTTCACCCAACAAATACAACCAAATTCCGTGTAGGTGATCCCCTCCCCTCATATTGCCAGCTCAGAGAGAAGCCCTGTCACCTTCCCCAGGCACTTCCAAAGGCTCTGTAAAATCTGTTTGTACAGGAGCCTCTCCTAGCAGACTGGTACTAACATGCATTACATCTTTCTTTGTAGCAATTATCAATCTGTCACTGAAAGGTGATGTTTCCTGTTGGTATTATGACAGTTCATTCATTTGCAAGTCATAAAGATTAGTTAATGGAAAAGTCAGCAAACAGCTCAGTTTCATATTTCCTTTTTTCTAATCTTTCTTGTCCCAGGCTGTCAAATATTTCCCATCCACACTGTGTCAAACCAGCTATTGCTCAGAAGTCATGGCATTCACTTAGACAGAAATGGCACTTTTAAAAATCCAGGTATATGTCTCCCAGAAGCCAAACTCAGGCCCTGTGCTGAGATTTACCAGGCTGGGCCTCGCTGAAGGCCGTGGGATCTCCATCCCCATGGAACAGGCACGGCACCCCCTACACAGGGGCACCTCAGAGCCCAGGGCAGCCCCGTGTGGGTGTGGAGGTGCTGCCCCGTGGGCCAGGCACTGACTCTGCTCTCTGCTCTCTGCTCAGGTGGGGAGCTGAAGGACGACGTGCTGGTGACCCCCCCCGAGGTGCGCCGGGACAGCGGCTCCTGCCCGGACCCCGCGGCCCTGCCCGTGCCCAGGGCCAGCCCCCAGCCCCGCTGTGGCTCCGTGTCCACGGCCCCCCCCCGCAGACCCTCTGCAGAGCCTCGGCCCCTCTGTGTACACAGAGACCCTCCTGGAGCCCCTGGTGCCCCCGGGCCAGGGCAGGCTGGCACCCAGGACTCACAGCATCACCATCACCCCCCCGGCCACCCCGCAGGCCAAGCGGCGCCACAAGCTGAAGCCACCACGGACTCCTCCCCCCCCTTGCCGGAAGGTTTTCCAGCTGCTGCCCAACTTCCCGACCCTCACGAGGAGCAAGTCCCACGAATCACAGCTGGGAAACAGGATAGATGAAGTTCCTCCAATAAAGTAAGTTCTTTCCCAGACTGGAGCTGGAGCTCTCCCCACCAAACTGTGCCACGTGTAGGCAGGACAGTGCTGGCACTGCAGCAGCTTCAGGAACCTGTGCAAAACCAGGGCTGTTTGCAAACCCAACAGCAAATGCTGCAGGCAGCAGTTCCTGTTCTAGCCCAGTGTGAATCCTGTTCACAGGAATATGGGGGCTAAAAAAAAATATCTCTTTTTCTTTCTAGGTTCGGTAAGAGACTCTTCTGGGGGTGTCTGCAGTGCCTTGCTGAGAGAGAAGAACCTGTGCTTGTCAGCTCCCTGTTGGTCATCCCTGTGCAGCCTCTGGAGGGTCTCCACAGGCCCTCCTATCCCAGAGCTTCTGTTAACTGAGCAGGAGCTTGGCCTGCTGCAGAACTGCAGGGCTTTGACTTTTTTGTACCTGATGTTTTTTCAGATGACAACAGCAAGGAAAAGGAATAGTGATGTTTCAAGGGTTAAAGTGAGGGGTTTGGGTGTAAGTGCTTGTCTCTACCTCAGACAGCTGGTACTGATGCCTTTTGGTACTAGAAATGTCATATCTAACCATTTAGTGCCTTTGGATATTCACTGCCCAGTGTCTCTGCAATGAAATTAGACAGTTATGTGCAGCCTTCTGAGAAAACTTTAGCAAGTGCTGGAATGTGCAATATTCCCCTGGTACTGAGTCTGTTCACATGGTTAATGTCTGACAGGACCAGGGCTGTGTTTTTATCCAGTGCCATACCCATGCTATTGGGAGTTCCAGCTACCCTGAGGGGTGTGTGTCCCAGACACAACCTTGGAACCTAATGGAGAGAGATTGGAGCAGCTTGGAAAGGGTGCAAAAGCATCAAAGCATTAAAAAAAGTATAAAAGTCCAAATAAGGACGTTATAGCACCGCACATATACCTTAAAACAAAAACCCCAGGAATTACTTTCAGAAATGGAAGATTATAAAATGAAAATGCCAGCAGCAATCTGAGCATTTCCCTGTGGAGAGTGACATAATTTGTGCAATAAATGAAAAAAGCTTTAGAATAAATTCAGACAGAAATGAAGGATTTTGGTGCTTCTCTGCATGCAGTCATATTGACTGGGTTAAAATCTCTGCTGTGGGCTGGTAGGTCCCAGTCAATCCCAAACTGGTTTATATTCATTAGAACTCTTCAGTAAGGGTTTATCCATCTTACTCCATGTTAAAAGCCATCTGAAGTTGTGTTGGGATCCATTGGATGGTTGTGCATTTGGATGGCCACACTGGACCAGCAATATTCCCTGCAAAAGCAGCTAACCACTGCAGCCCAAGAGGCTGAAGACCACAGACACCTTTAAAACTTCACTGGACTAATGATAAAAAAGAATCTGGTGCCATCTAGGGTCAAGTGAGAGACTGGCTCCGTGTAAGCACCAACAGCCCTGGCTGTGCTGACACCTGCAGATTTGAGTTTAGTCCAGATTTGGAATATTTTTATAGATTTAGTTCAGGAAATATGCCAGAATCTGAGTATTTGAGAGTTTTCAGAAAGTTATGTGCTCTAACCACTGGAGTGCTGGATTGGCCTTTGAAGTCTAGGTCTCCCTTTCTGCACTTACCAGCTCACTAAGTGAGCTCACATATACATTTTTATCCTGGGTCATGCTGACCCTATCTAGAAAATGGAGATAATTTTCAGTGAAAAAGAATATTCTGAAATCTGCTGACACTGCATGAAAACTGGCTGATGGTATTTGTGGTAAACCAATTGGAAGTAAACCAGTTAGGAATAAGGTCTGACTTTCCACTTTAAGAATGGCTTAGACCTGATCAGATGGACTTCTGTAATCCCTAAACCATCACGATTTATCAAATCAATGGAAACCAGTGCAAGGGCAGGAGCTGCAGCAGCTCTGCAGCAACAGCCTGGGCTGTGGTGCTGCCACTCTGGGCTACTGGGGTTGACTGTGGCAGTGACCATTTGCTTTCTGTCCACACTGGTGAGCAGGTGTGGGCAATGCTTCCCTAAACCCTCCTTTTGTTCCCCACCAGAGCTCTCCCAGGGATCCCCTCAGACGGTACGAAGAGACTTTGGCCTGGCAGTGACACACAGGTGAGCAGCACAGGGACAGCCCAGGGGACACAGGGACAGCCCAGGGGACACAGGG